GGAGCTAAAAATAGAAAAACGTTGTTAACACTCAAACCGTCACATTTTTGACTCCATCATCATCAAGCTTCGTCAGGATGTTTATCTTGGTAATTGCTTGGATGGGATTGAACATGGGTCATCTCGGTTGAAAAACTAGGTCACATGAGCTAAAAATAGAAAAAAAAACTTGTTAACACTCTAGCGGTCACATTTTTGCCTCAATCATCATCAAACTTGGTCAGGATGCTTGGCTAGGTAAATGCTCTGATGAATTTAAACATGTGTCATCTCGGATAAAAAACAGGTCACAGGAGCTTTAAATAGAAAAATCTTGTTAACACAATAGTGGCTAATGTTTTGATCCAAATATCCTTGAACTTGATCTGAAAGTTTGTTTTGATGATTTCTAGGTCAACTGTGAATATGGGTCACCTGAGGCCAAAAACTAGGTCACAAGGCCTAAATATTGAAAAACCTTGTTAACACTCTAGAGGTCACATTTTTGACTCAATTTTCATCAAACTTGGTCAGGATGCTTGCCTAGATAATTGCTAGGATGAGCTTGAATATGGGTCATTTCGGATGAAGAACAAGGTCACAAGAGCTTAAAATAGAAAAACCTTCTTAACACTCTAGCGGTTACATTTTTTACTCGATCATCATCAAACTTCGTCAGGTTGCTTATCTAGGTAATTGCTCGGAGGAGTTTGAACATATATTATCTCGGATGAAAAACTAGGTCACAGGAGCTAAAAGTAAAAAAAACATCGTTATCACTCTAGACGTGTCAACATTTTTGTCTCTGTAATCATCAAACTTAGTCAGGATGCTTGCGTAGGTAAATGCTCGGATAAGTTCACACATGGGTCACCTCGGATGAAAAAAAAAGGTCACAGGAGCTAAAAATAGAAAAATCTTGTTAACACTTAAGTGGTTACTGCTTTGATCCAAATATCAAGGAAATTGGTTTAAAAGTTTCTTTTGATGATTTCTACGTCCAATTCCAATATGAGTCACCTGGTGTCAAAATCTAGGTCAAACTGCTCAAATTTGGATAATCCTTGTTAACACTAGTTGTCACATTTTTGACTCACATTTTATGAAACTTGGTCTGAGAATGCTTGTCTTGATAATTGTTCGGATGAAATTGATGGGTCAGATGAGCGATTAAGGGCCATCTTGGCCTTCTTGTTCTGAAATTGTGGCACCTTGCTATCTGTATCTTGCGCTGTCCTCCAGACTCTAAAACGACTATTACTCTTCTGAAGAACTCGCCTATACGGGCAACCGGTGGAGAGTATGAAGAAACTTAATTACATACATATATTCACTCAGTTTAATGATTCTTATTGCAAGTTAACTTACGGTGATAGACTCAGGGAATGCAGTAAAAATCACACAACCCATGGTGATAGGCCAATCTTCTGATTCTTATTGCAATTAAAATAAAATTATAAGTCTATCGAATGGTTCTTATCGTAAGTTAACCCACACTGATAGCCTCCGGTAAATGCAGTAAAGCTCACACAATCGACCAACAGTGATAGGCCTATCAAATGGTTCTTATCGCATGACTACCAATGGTGATACCCTGAGGAAATGCAGTCAAGCTGACACAACCTATGGTGATATACATATCTTATGATTCTTATTGCAAGGTAACTAAGGAAATGCAGAAAAGCTGACAAAACCCACTGTGGAAGGCCTATCTAATGGTTCTTTTTGCAAGTTAACCCATGTTGATAGCTCCAAGGAATGCAATAAATCTCTCGCAATCTACGATGATAGGTCTTCCTAATTGTTCTAATCGCAAGTTAACACAAGGCAATTTGGTCTATCTAATGGTTCTTATCGTAAGTTAACACAAATTGATAGTCATAGGGAATACAGTAAGTTTCACAAAATCAACCCACTCTGATATCTTATGGTTATTATCACAAGGCTATCCACGGTGATAGCCTCAGGGAATGCAGCCAGGCTCGCACAACCCTCAATAATTTGGCATATTAAACGTTTCTAATCGTAAGTTAACCCAAGAAGACAGTCTCAGGGAGCGCAGTAAAGCTCACACAACCCAAGGTGATAGGACTGTTTAATTGTTTTGATCGAAAGTTAATCCATTGTGATATCCTGCATTAATGGTTTTTTGCAAGTTAAGTAACGTGATAGAGTCAAGGAATATGATCGGTCAATCTTATGGTTCCTGTCACATGTCAACCCACGGTGATAGCATCAGAGAATGAATTAAACGTCACACACAAACAACTGTGCATGGCCTATGTAAGGATTTTTATCGCCTAACCGGTTATAGCCTCCGGATATGCAGTGGGATCACACAACACACGGTGTTATGTCTAATAATGGTACTTATGGCAAGGTATTCCACGATTATAGCATCAAGGAATACAGTAAATCTCAAACAAGTAAAGATAATAGGCCTATCTAATCGTCCTTGACGCACGTAATTCAAAGGAGATAGCCTCAATGAATGTAGTCAAGCTCAAACAACCAACAATGATTGGTCTATCTAACGGTTCTTTTCGCAAGATAAACCACGGTGATAACCTCACGGAATGCAGTAAACCTCACACAACCTACGGTGATAGAGAATCTTATGGTTCTTATCACAATTAAACCAACCTTCAGAGTCCTATCTGATGTTTCTGATCGCAAATTAACATACTGTGATATACTAGGGAATGCAGTAAAAATAACACAATCTACGGTGATAAGTAATTCAAATTGAATAGCCTATCAATTCATCGCAAGTTAAACCACGGTGATAGCTGCAGATACTTGCAGTATAGCTAAAACATCTTACGGTAATATACCTATTTAACGGTTCTTTTCGCCAATTAACCCACCGTGATAGGCCTATATTATGGTTCTTCGCGCAAATTAACCCAAAAGATAATCTCAGTAAATGCTCTAAAGCTCAAACAACCAAAGGTGATAGGTCTATCTAATGGTTCTTATCGCAGATTCACCTACGTTGATAGCCTCAGGGAATGCAGTAACACGTACACAAACAAACCACGGTTATAGGTATATCTAATGGTTTTAACGCAGGTTTACCAACAATGATTGCTTTAGGGAAGTCAGCACAGCTCACACAGCACACAGTGAGACGCATATCTCATGTTTTTATTGCAAGTTTACCCTCGACGAAAGCCATAGGGAATACAGAAAAATTAACAAAGCAGTGGTGATAGACCTATCAAATTTATCTTTTCACAAGTTAACCCACGTTGATAGCTTGAAAAAATGCAGTAAAGCTCACGGTGATAGGGCTATCTAATTGTGCTGATTGCAAGTTATCAACCGGTGATAGCCTTAATGAATGCAGTAAAGCTCACACAACCAAAGATTGATGTATGTCAGCGGGCGGTCTGGCGTAAACAATTTCTTCTGTGCGCAACTCCTCCTACATTTTTCAAGGGGTTTTGTTCAAACTTTCAAAGAGTATCCCAGTTTTACTGGATAACCAGGTTTTCCGTTGGAAAAACTGGTTAATAGGTATTTGTATATCGGTGAGCAGTCGGGCGTAAACAATGTCTTTTAGCGCAACCCCTCCTAAATTCCTAAAGGAATTTTGACCAAACTCTCATGGAAGCTTTGTAATTAAGTACCCTTGCACATAATGTCAGGATTTTGTGATCGACTATTTTTTTTTAATTATGGCCCTTTATTTGTTTCCTTATAAAGAAAATATAGTGAACAATATCTTCTGTGCGCAACACCTCCTACATTCCGTAAAGGATATAGTTCAAACTTTCACTGTCTTGGTTTTGTGTCTGGATAAATTTTGACCAAGCTATGACCCTTTGGTTTTTCCATAACATGTATCAATTAGAATATTTAAACAAACTTTATATATTCATTGAACAGAAACTATCTAGTGTGTTGCACTCCTGGCAGCTCATCTGCCTGCTTTTTGGTCCTGTATAGTCAAGGTCAATGTACATTTAACTAAAAATAGATAATTTGTTACCAGTCAAAAATTACAGTAAGTAATGAAATATTTCAATTAAACGTGGTGTATAACAAGATTATGTGAATATCTTGCTTTGGGTTGCCAGTTGACCTTATAATAGCCCTTTGGATTTTCTTCTTATTTGGAATATACTAGTATATCGAACAATGTTTCTTTACAGAAATTTGACATCAAGTGCTCTTGCACTTGTTGAAGCAGATAAGTGATTCCATTATGTTTAACCTAATTATGGCCCTTTGTTTTTTGTGGTTTTTTTTTTCATATTCGTATTAAATAGTGCAATTCGTTAATGAATTCCTTATGGTTGATGAAAGTAGATTCTACAAATGATGATTTTATTAATTATATTTGAAATATTTATATAATCACAGAAATTTTTGTTTAGAAATATTGACTGAGGATTAAGGGCGCATTACTTTATTATAGGGGCAAGAGTGCAGATTTTGTTTCGACATCAATATAGCGGGAATACTATCGTAGGATTTAGCGTCTATTTAACCACATACAGTTTTCGCTTTAATTTTTTGATTATCCGAAAATAAAGGTTCAGCAATTCCCGTGGGTAAGGGGCAGTCGAGGACTCAACAGTCGGTAAACATATCGAACGGTTACTATCAAGTCTGTGAATCGATAGAGCGGTGTATGTATATAATGATCAAGAAGTAGCGGAAAGTTATTTCACAGAAAGAGGTATTCAGGCTAGAGTTTTAAGATTTTGTGTTTTTAAACCAATTGCCCCTCATCACTTTTGGTTCGAATCCCATCAAGTTAATGTCAACTAATTTGAAACTTAGGGGCGTTGCTTTAAACCCCAAAAGGAGCATCTTTTTTTCTTTTTTACATTATTTGTGTATCTCTCAAATCCCTTATGGAACAAAAAAAGTGTAATTAGTCCCCTACCGGTTTAACCGGAGGGGGACTTTAGGTTAACCCTCAGTCCGTCTGTCCGTCTGTATGTCCGTGTGTCTGTCCGTCCGTCAGTCCGTCCGTCCACAAAACTGGATTCCGCGATAACGCAAAAAAGTACTGAAAATATTTTTATGAAACTTGATATATGGATAGATGGCAGTTTTGAGATTATGCACGTCTTTTTTGTCTTCCTATGTTGAAAATTCTTGTTGATATGGCAACAAATAGTCTGAAAATATGGTAAATTTAACACATAAACTGGATCCAGTGATTACTCAAAAAGTACTAAAAATATTTTATGAAACTTGAAATATGGGTAGGTGGCAGTCTGGAATTTATGCACATCTTTTTTTTTCTTCCTATGTTGAACATTCTGGTTGCTATGGCACCAAAAAGCCTGAATTTCAAGATTTCTGATTTAAATTTTTCAGCTTTTTCACTATAAGTTCTTTATTTCTTAAGGTGTGATTTCAAACTTTAAATATAAATTTCTGGTCATCAACCACATCATCTGTGACAAGGTTTACAACTCTAGCACAAAAATTATCATTATTACCTCCCTTGAACTTAGAATTTTTATGGAAAAAAATGTTGTATGTTTAAAATAACTTCATTATTTCCTAATGTATCTACTTCAAACTTCTTATAATGTTTATATGTTTCTTATTATCACTCAACATTTTTGAGAAGATTAAATACTCTAGCAAGACTAGTCCAGAATTGTGTCTCCCTTGAACTTTTTTCGAGAAATTGGTATTTTTCACTCCAATTTCTTATGAATCATTCCTTTCAGGATTTACTTTAAAATCCCACATCGTAATAATATGACAAGGTTGTATAAACATAATTTCCTTACTAGGCAGGGAAACTTAACACATTACTGTGATATAGACAAACTTAGAACTCAAAAGGTTTAAGTTCATTCATGTCATTCATTCACTGGTAAAATTGAATGGCCAATGGCCCATCAGAATGTTGCTGGGGTTCTAACCGGTAGGGGACTTTTGGATTGCTTGCAATACTATGATAATTGCTTATATAATTATAATATTTATATAATGATTGAAGGTATTCATTGGCTAAATAATGCTAAATTTTAAAGCGAATATGATACAATATATTTCTTAAGTCTAATAAAATAAGAACTACATAGTAAAAGTATCTAATATTTTGCAACATCAATCAATATGCTTTTTAGAAAATTTTGGCAAACTCTTGAAACCACTCATCATTATGGCAAATTTTAGGAATTTTTGAATAAGGCCTTTTAATAGGTAAATTATCAAAAATGTGTTAAAGTAGGTGGGGTAGGATACCATTTTTATACATATTACAAACATTTTTGTATAAAAACAATTATATTTCACATGTGATTTGTTACCTGAATGCTAGTATTTGTTTCTTAACAATGATCAATAAAAAAAAACAGTTTTCATAATTATGATATAATAATTATAGATTATTTAGAGTTTCCTCATTGCTGAAAAAGAGTACTTCTAATAGCCAAGTTTTAGTTCAGAAAAATGTCCATACACCATACGCTAAATTTTATTTAAAATTTGCATACAGGTGTCCTGTAAGGCATATAACTGTGCAATATTGTCAGCTTTTTATTTAGTTCCTAAGCGGTGTTCTAGCTTAAATTTTTACATTTTACTTTTTCAAAGAGTCATCATTGCAACAGGTGAACTTTACATCATTAAGACAGGTGTTATCTCCGCCATAATGATAATCTTCCACTCGAGTCTGTATGCCGCATATTGCAGAGTTTGTTGAACATTCCCTACTCCATCCACCAATTACTCCCCAAAACCCATATCCAGGCGTTTGTGCAAGTTCGTAGTTACACGATCCAGAATCCATACGTCCACATCTGAACTTAATATAGTTCGCAGCTGTGTCGTCCCCACTCTTTTAGAATAAAAAGATACATTCACCAGTCAGTCTTTGTTTATAGAATACAATTATAGCAGAAGCGAATTCGTTTGGTTTATAAATCTATCTTGCTTTAATCAGTCAAATATTCAAAAGTCTCCAAGCGAAAGCTTTCTTTAATTTGTAGTTTTCTTCTGTACATATTTTACTTAGTATATAATACTTGAAATAAGACAATTTATGGAGAAAGCTACAGATTCTTATTAAAATTAATGGAGTAATGAAATTAAACTCACATGCTGGTTCTCTTCAACTTGTAACGCAAATTCTTTCAGAAACATATTATTAGGGCACATAATTACGCCACTCCAGTATCCAAAATAATGTCCAAAAGTTGAAGTGATGTTTCCACCAAAGCGTCTACCGTCTAGTGACAAACACACAAGCTTAATTGCAATAAGTGACACATCGTCATGATCGACCCCTTGCTTTGGCTGAATCTAAAAAATATGATGGCTATGAAAGTGAAATGCATCGCAATTAATCATAAATGATCGTTTGATTTACTGTTCTTGTAATCTTCATACAGTTCTCTTATACTTTACAATGTTTATTGTAACCTAAAAGTAGCAGTATATAAGCTTAAGTGCAATATTAGTCCTAATTTGAGGAAAGGTGTTCCAATTCGTATGTGTATTTTTTTCCTGAAGAGTATTTAAAATATTACGTTTCTTTTAGTAGAGAAAAGGCACAAAAAATGTCATCAATAATTTGGGCGTAGATTGTCTGACCAAAATATTCGTAGCTGCTAGGTATGCTAAGGATGTAACCTGATTCGAATATGTGTTACCTATTTTGATAATGTGTATGCACAATCAATCAAAGCTTATGAAAGAAGGGTGGAAGCACTTATAAGCAAATTTATAACATCGCGGGAAACCATATTACATAGAATTTTTCTATCATTGTTTCAGTCTAAGGAGTTATGGTTTGAATTTTCTTAAGATTTCAATTTATACCACCCTATGCGGATTTCATCAAGGATGGGGACTCTAAAACTCAGAAAACAAAACGTTCGGCCTTTCTACAGAACCACGAAGTGATGTGACATGCAATTTTAAAATATGATAGAAACAATTTTTCTCTTTTTTTCAGATTGAGTTATGCTTTAAATAATCAATGCTGTAATGCTAATTAAACTCGTAAAAACCTAAATTATGTTCAGAAAATGTCCAAAAGATTAAAATAATCTTTTCCACAGAATCAAAATCAGTAAAAAGTAAATATTAATGAGCCCTGACTCACATTACCAACATAGTGGTCAAATGACGTAATCGTAGAAAAAAGTTGACACCATTTTTTTTTAATTTTACGACGCGCGCTGTTCCAGTCAGGACTGTGCATTTTTTAAACAGTGCGTACATCAATTGTATGTAAGGAAAAATCATTAGTGCACTAAAATAATAAAATTGTTCACCACAATGATGACGGTTTCCGCAGTTTAAAGATATGGGTAGAAATGACTCATTTTCACAGCTTTAAGATTAAGTGAAAACTGCACTCGTAACCTTGAACCTCTAGCAAAACACTAGCTCAATCGTATCTTAAGTACCAAGAAAAAACATTTCAAGGAGATAAGAGTTGACAAATCTTATTCCATCTACTTAAACAAAACTTGACATATTGTCCTTGCAACAGAAAATACTTTCAGGGCTTACTTACTTAAAATTATTAAACAATAATTGCATGTATTCATTTGATTGTTTTTTGTTTGCAGTGAAAAAAATGTTTTCCAAGTATTTCTTTTTATGGTTACATGTCGTGGCTGATAAGTATGTAAATCGGAATAAACACTTTAATGTAAGTGGAACAAGGAAAATATCACATCACGTGGATATCATTGTTTTATATAACGGACACTCAAAACAAGAGTATATAATTGAGAGGCAAATTGAAGTTGATGAAATCACGTCTTGCATTATAAAAATTAAGTGGAAAACAAAATATCCTTGTTATTACATCATTCAACATAATGTAAGTACCATGCATCAAATCCATACTTATTTTCATAATAAAAAGCAAAATGTTTTTTAAAGTAAAATATTGTGAAGAGCAAAAAGGAAGTCATTTACACATTCCATACAATCCCCGTAAATTACTATACAGATGTCAAAATAGGCAAAATAGCCTCTGCTGCATTAGTCACGCAGAAGACATACAGTGATATTTTATTTTGCGTTGTTATTTAAATGAACTCTGTCAAGTCGTTGTAATAGTTTATGCATATAAGTGAGTGTCTGCATTTTTATTTCGTGAAATAAAAACCATATCACATAGAGAAATGTATTCCTAGCAATGTTCGCGGATACAATATTTTGCGTTTTTCACAATGACGGCATTTTCGCGGAGACAAACTTTCGCGGATTTGTAGTAACCGCGAATTCCGCGAATATTAAGTCGCTACGGCCTGAATAACAGATTTTGGAGGCATGACCTTACCTGTAGGGAACTTTTAATTATTTTATTTGTTTAACAAGTCGCGCCCAAAGCGCTACGTTACTCGATACCTTTTCATTTGTTGACATGTTGAACACAGCCGGTTGTTCCGTGAACACTTTTTACTTAATTTCTTACATTTTTCACTATGTGATTAACTAATATTTGGTCAGATCCATTAGCTTTTATTATCATTTGAATTATAAATGACTTTATCATCAAAATGTCGATACGTAATTTATTGCACAGTATTGGACGGTTCATCGTTTTCATTGTAACAACATAACAGCTTGTACTATATCAGTCATGGTGTTGCGAACAAAGCTATGCTGATCTTTTTTGTGGTCTGTGTATTATTTTATGATTCCGTTAATGTCCTAATATGTATTGTGTATCTTGTTCTTTAAAGCATATTTCTTGATTCAAAGACATAACTGCACAAAAATCATAAAACATTTCTCCGCAATGATAACTATTAGCTATAACTTCTTTTGTTTTTTCGCAGTAGTGCACGTAGCCGTTCAACGCCTGACGTCATATTTTTTGCGTGGGTCTGTTTCCCATGCCTGAATAAAATATTTATCATACTTAAAATTGTTAGTGTTAATGCTTTTACGTGCATACACGTATATGATCACACAACGACGTGATAAAACATCATTATGTTAGGAAGTTTTGTGCCCGCTTATTTGTTGAGTATGATGCACTACCGGTTTCCTACAGTGGCATAAAAGTGACATTTGCATTTATATTTTTTTATTCTCATCTTTCTTCCGTACATTTTTGTTTGTTTGTTTTTCGTACATATTTTTTTAGTTTTGCATATATATTTTATTTTAGTTTTGCAAAAAAAATTACTTTAGTTTTGCATACATACTTTTTCCAGTTTTGCATACGTATTTTTTTTTAGTTTTGCATACATATGTTATTTTAGTTTTTCGTACATATTTTTGTTTTGTTTTTCGAACATATTTTTTAGGAAATCAAAACAGCCTTTCAATATCATAACTTTAAAAAAATGTGTATCAAAAACTAAATAAAACAATATGTACGATAAACAAAAAAGTATGCACAAAAAAAAAAAAACAAAAAAAAAACAAAAAAAAACAAAAAAAATCAGAAAAAAAAATAAGTTTCAAAAACAAAGAAAAATAAAATTGCAAATGTCACTTTTATGCCACCGTAGTGTCCGGACACAAGGTTATAAATTTAAGTACAAAACAAACAACGAACGAAGGTTCAATCTATCGAACAAAAATAAATATATACAGTTTTTAGATTTTTTTCTGGATTTGCAAAATATAAGGGACTATACAGGTATGTTAACTATACCTTCATAAGAAGAAAATTACAAAACAAATAATCATAGAACCGCTGAAAAAAGCCCAACATGTTTACATGTGATATTCCCTAAAATTCTGGTCGATTCTTATGTAACACTGTTAGTCCAGACTGGTATGATATAAATCAAAATGTAAAATCGATAATATTCAAGATAATATATAATGAACACAGGACTGTTTTAACTGAAAACATATTTATTAACAATAAATACAAATTGCTACCGTGTATTTTATCATATCAACAGTTCAGGGGTCAATATTTCTATAACTCGTTTTACAGATTTGCTACTTTTCTTTATTTTATATTTACGCTTAAAGAAGTATATATTGAACTGAATGAGATAAATGTACATATAAATCTTTTTTCGTAAAGTTATAATATCATATCTTAATTCAATATTGTCAGGATATAGCCCACACCAGGCGTTGTAACTGCGGAAAACTCCCGATGATGACGAAAGATCGTTGACGATCTTACGTTACATTGATTCTGTGTGAACTTATGATGAAAAACAATATACACTACCGCCACTTGGCGAATTAATTGAATACGACACACGTACTTGTATATATTTATTTTTCCGATCGTGCAACAAGTCGTTACATAACTTTAGATAGCTTGCAATTGATACGGTACTCTTACACAAAGTTTATGTAATAATGTATAACAAATGTGAGCTTCCTTGTCGATAATTTCAGTTTTAAATTCTGTATGCGTTTTTCGTACTAAGATACATTTACAATTGAAGGAATTATATGTCAAGGAAATCGCTGATTCAGTTAAATAAGCGTGACGTTGCAATTTTTGAGTGGTGTCAAATAATGTTCAATAGCGTTATAAATCAAGTTTTTATTGTCAAAATAATAAAATTTGTTATGAACGATTCAGGAAAGAATGCATTTTTAAAATCTTTGAAAAAAGTAAAATGTCAAATTTGACCTCTATGTTGGGTATGTCATGTCACGGTTCATTTATATAAAAAAAAAACACAAAAAAAACTTTATTTTATGTGTTTGAGTGGATTACTGATTTATCCGTGAAAATTATATTTGATAATTTCACAGTGAAAATTATCAAAATATAATTTCACACTTTTCAATGATAGACTACTTTGAAGATTTTCCCCATATGGTACCTCAATTTTATTTTGCTGAAAATTCTGACATTGTCAGGGCTGCTTAGAATAAACAAATCTGAAATTGATAAATAACTTAAATTTCAAAAGTAATAAAAATAAAAAAAACTTACTTCAACTCATTAAAATTACCAATCACAAAACATCGTCTAAAATTTTTTTTACAGTCTGAAAAATACACTTCTTTCCACGTGCAAAACTGCTCTTGATGATATTTAGGCATATTTAAGCATTTTTAAGCATCATATGAGCAATAACTGCCTAATGCAATATGAAAATATCGAAAGCAAGGACAGTCATCAGCCAAAAGAATAAGAAAACAACCCAGCGTTCGTAAGACAGCCTTTTTCCAAATTTCTAGCTGCTTTTTAAATGTTAACACATCTGTTAACAATTATTTATTGACTTTTACAATCCTCATCCTTATTTTCCTCCCATGAAATACACAATTTTGAAAAGTGGCGGCCGCTTATATTACACAAAGCCTAGTCTAAAATAAATTCGCCGTAAGTAACGGAAAAAGGGTAGGATAGTTTGACTTTTTCTTCACTAGAATTGTTTGTTTTTTATTATTAAAACAAGCGACAATTTATTATTTTTAATAAAATAAATGATATCATCGCCATTTTATGTTGATTGTCGAACTTATTTTTCAGCTTAAGACTTCTTGTATTTATGAGAAATTGGACTAAAATTGGCATAAAGTAAAGTCTACCTGTGGGGAAAACAGATTTACATTTTAAAGTTAAAGTGACATAATGCCCATCAAAGGGAATGTACTAAATGAACATATGAATAGATAAATAAGTTTTCATTTTGCAATAATTCCTTTTGATTTAATAATTGACTTTGCAAAAACAATAAATAACACACGGAAGCTAAGGAATTTTCTGTAAATATCCATTAGAATTTACGTGTACCGTTAAGTTTATAAAAAAGAGTGGGACAGTCTTTTTATATTGAAGGCAGATTTATAATGTTAACCTAAAAATTTTTTAAATATCACCTGTTTGTCAAACACCATTTTAACAGTCAATTCAGCTCAACTTTACTATAAAAATATGTGCAAAATGTCACTTTAATATTGAGGAAATTTCATTTAAACTTGTTTTTAAGCATGTAATAAAATATGTTTGTTTGTTTTGTAAGAGGTAATTTTATTTCATCTCGTGAACTTACGCCACTCGTGAGAATTCTGTTTTTAAAGCTCTCTCAAGGAAATAAAATTTCATCTAACACACAAACAAACAAATATCTTCTATATTTATTACATTAATATGCACGATTAACTTTTGTCTGCAACTTGGCGTTTTTCGTACAATAGAAGGGACCATATGGAATTCCTATTTATGTTTACCCTGTAGAAGTAAGTTAGTATATTGTTTCTAAGTTAGTAACATTCATAAATATCATATATGAGTACATTTTAGATAGTGTAGAATAATGCGGGACATCTCAATAAAATCTTTGCATCGAATCATTGCCCACATTTATAGTCACAAACCGAACTCTTCTTTTGCTTATTTGGGTAGAAAATAATTATTTCCTTAACATTTACATAAAACGCATTTAGAATATTTTTAAGGGACCTAAATGATCGCTTGATACAACCTTTTAGCTGTGAATACCTTATCTTATTGTAACTTTAAAACATTAAACCCGTTGTGTTTGTATTATCGTCATACAGATCATTTTAAGCAGATTGTCCTTGATTATATCTCATGTTATACATGGTGAATCAAAAGAAAAGTAACAAAGAAAAAAGACTTGTTAAAAAAGGAAATAACCCCCATTTTGATCTCTGAAAGTGAATACAATAGGGACACCTGGCTATGTTTTTTTTTCTCTAATAATAAATAATTTTTGAACTATTTAAAACATTGCTTACGTTAGACTTCATGCAATTTCTTTTGCATTCAATACAGGTACTTGATGTTATTTTCGTAACTATAGATAAAAACAAAATAGAGAGAAATAAAGAATCCCTAAAGAAGGTCCAACAAGAAAAAAATTTAAAATGTTGCAGGTTCGGTTTGATTGAGCCTGTTCATGGACGGTAATGGAAAGTGCAGGTAATCATTCATGCCCCCTTGCACCGACTAAAGCAAACTTCAATATTTAATCATAGTTATGGTTACATTTTGAATTTAGAAACATTTGCAGGTGTGCTCATATGGCGGTTATCATGGAACCTTCAATATGACACTTTAGTGCCATTCCATGAAAAGCGGCGTATGGTCCCCAAGTAAAAGAATGTGTATGCCCTTAACGAGAAAACAATGGGCAGAACTAAATAAAATAGAATTTTGAAAGGAAATCAGAGGTTATGAAGCCTGCATATTAAATTTAAAAAGCAGGCAACATATCCAAAGGGTGATTTTAATATCATTCAAGTAGGATTATTAAATTCCTAAATCCGTGTAATAACACAGAGTTATAGTTTATATAAGTCTCAGGCAAACCTTCGGCCAAAGACCTGTGCTCGAATTAGCCGAGATACGCCCCTGGTGGCTGTCAAGAATCTCTAAACACTTATGTTTTGTACAATGTCATGTATTCGATTTTTTTTCTGCCAGCATGTACAATCTGCGCACTTTTTTATTTGTTTACACCTTGGCAATAACGTAGTAGACTTTGTTTCTATCAATCTCTGAAACCCATATGATAATTTACATTTAAGATAGAAAGACCCATATGATAATTTACATTCAAGATAGAAAATCTATCAGATTGAATTTTTTTCCTCCTAATTTTAATTTTAAATTTTTAAGGATAACATGATTGTGTTCAATACATATATCAAGCTCTTCAAAACCGAAAACAGAAATAGTGCATCAATATCAAATAAACATTGCCGCGGATGTTTCTTATCCTGAGATTTATTTTAAGTGAATATTTACTATTGTGAAGATGACTAAACATTTGACTTTATCGTAGGTCAAAAACTTAAAAAATATTTTAAGATCTTTTGTGAAAATATCTGGTGATTTCCAAACAGATGCCAATTGCGGTATCTTTGTCTTGTATATTTTACCACATACTACAATAAAAAGTAAACCTCAAAATATTTTTTGGTTGAAATTTATATCATTTTATCCGTTATGTTTTCCTTTCCCTTTCAATAACGTATGAATTTACTATTTCATACTTGACTGATTGTCACTTGATTTCTCTTACACCACTGATTCAACATCATGTATGATTAGTAGAATCTAATGGGTCACTTGCGGAGAAAAGAAATGTTGAAAAAGAGAGGCAACATCTTATTGTTTGTTTGGTTGGTTGGTTGGTTTCTATGTCTTTTTATCACATTTGGTCACATCTCGGCGATCCGGCCAATTAACCGGGTGAGCTGGATAACCAATTAACCAGTTATTCAGTAATTACAAATTACAAACTAAATGCAAAAACAAACAATCAGATTAATTGGCAATAATAAATTTTGAGCGTACCTTCATATCATATCCGGCAGCATATGTACCTTCTGCACAATAATGCATAAGACCCCACGTTCCCCAATTAGCCCGATTTGTAGGTCCAATTATGTCCAAACACACAACAACAGGAGAAAACGCGAGCACACTGACAAGAAGTAGGAAATACATAGTCAACAATCCACAGCATTTACAAGTAGCAAATAAGTATGTGTATTTGGTAATATCTTTTTATGATTTGAAGTTTATAACAAGATTTTATCTAGACATCTTCCCATTCAAGGAGGAGGCGGAGTTACGAAGTCACATGATTATGACATCACAGGAGACCTCTAAAACGGAGGCCGGGAAAACGGCTAGTATAAATCAGAGGCACTTGATGACAAAATTTTTGATCGACTCCCCTTTGGGACCGACTACCCGCCATGAATTTTATAAACTTATCTATAACACACACATTTATCAATTCATTAAAAGACTCTCGACAAAACGTCTTTTTTAAATTGATATATCTGTTGTGTATATAATGTAATTTATATATACAGTAGATATATCAAATTTAAAAAAACAAAACGTTTTGTCGGTAGATTTTATTGAATTGATAAGTTTATGTGTTATATATAAAAATCATGGCGGGTTACATGGTTGACTGACGCACTTGCGTTGGCCCGTCCACAAGTTCCTTAAAAACTTCTGGGGAAATTACCACTACAGAGAAACGGTCATTCAGCACCATGAAGAGATCAACAACATATCTTAGATCTACAATGACTAGTGAAAGACCTGGAAAAGATCTGGGCTTGGCCTTATGAATATCTATACACTTTCATGCATTTATATATAGCAAGAGTGAATATAATAATATCAATTATGTATTTTACATATCATATACAAATGCAGTATCAAAAAGTGAGAATTTCAGCATACATGTTAAGTTGTAAAAATAGTAATCATTTCATGAAAAAATCGAATTTGTATGAAACTGTGTTTCTTTCGTTACATCTTAATTTTCATTTTAGTAATTGTAAGACGAACTGATGCCACCTTCCCTAAAAAAATCCGAAACTTTCCTCATAAGCTCAGCCAGTGGTCGTTTGCGTTAACGGTTGTTTAGTCTAGTGCGTTGACTGCATGCATAGTTTCGTCCTTTGATGATTTCAAAACGATTGGCAGCTCGAGCAAGGATATCTTGGCGTCTTGACTACGTGAGACGGGTCCGGGTTCGAGTTGTGTCGGGACTAGGCGGGAGCGAAGCTGTTGGTCAGCTGTCCATGTTTGCCCTCATTTATACATCTGTTAAGATTTATCGGAGCTTGACCTAGCAATAACTAATACATGTGACCGCTTAAGTTTAACTGCCCTTGGTTTAGATGCCCGGTCTTTCCATAGGGACTGTACCTAATTGTTCTTTTTCTTGGCACAACATCCTTAGCTCAAAAGACTTTTTTCAAGTCGTTGTACGGCCTAAAGCTCTTGCAATAATTTGAAAAAATTGAAATGTGAAATTGAAATGGAGTAAATTACTGAATCGGAGTTTAACGCGATATTTATACATCAAAGCAGCAGGTGTCAAGTGCATAGTGGCATCCACAAAAAGGTGCCCCGTACTTCACTTCAGTGTTGATATGTATTTTCCTGGTCCTTTAGAATGATTGAGCCCATCACTTTTAAGTGTTGAGAGTTGAGTCACGCTTAAGCCGGTGCTATGGGGACTGAGGGTTGTATCACTTTTTATTATCTATCATGTACAACCCAATTAAATCGAGTCTGCATTTTCGTGATTTATTTTGCTGTTTTAATGCTTTCGAAGGAACACTTTTTCCCAGATATTTCAACACTTTTTTCAGTCATATAAAATCACATTTTCCGGCGATACCGCGAAGCACGTATTCACGTACATTGGCGTTTCTTCATGAAAACGACTTGAATCTTATTTTATCAGTTTATTTCGATTTGCTATATCATCAGAAGTTCAATAAATGTCACTTGCCTACCTAAAATTGAAATTATGCCGTATAATATGCATTGTTGTTCTTAAAGACAAACTTTAGTTTAAAAACGGTAGTCAAGTCATCATTTTCACGAATGATCTTGAAAAGTAAACAATTTCGTGGAAATAATCTTGATAAGGGACAATGATATTGGATAAGTTTTAGAATATTTTGTGATTAGGAACTTTTACTTGGGTCTTGAAAAAGGGTCTTATTCTATTAATAATTTTTAAAAAGTCATTATCTTCTGTTATATAAATATAGTCAAAATCAAACGTATAATCACTTTTTTGCTGTATGAAACATTAAAATATGAATGTATCGTATTGTTAATCCTATATTAAATATGCTATTTTGACGATCTGATATAATGCAAAATGAGATCAACATTTAAAAAATAGGTTATTGCAGGATATGCTATGGGCTCAGCGTTCCCGGTAATATCAAGTACAGAAAATTTTAATTCGGTTGGATAAAGGATAGTACCGGAAAGATGTCTTGATGCCCTGTCTTTAAAGAACGCCAAAAATAGAAAAATTGCTGTAAACTATTGCAGGCTTTGTTTAATTGGGGTTGTTAATTGATGACAGTGGCGAATGCAAGCTTACGCCATTCATGCTCTCTAGCACCGGCTAAAGCAATATTCAACATATAAATATAAACACGGTCACATTTTTAATTATGAAACATTCGCAAATGTATTTATACTGCGGTTATCATGGAACTAAATTTTACACGTTAGTACCATTCAATGAAAGTGGTGCAGCACTTCTATATCAAAGAATGCTCGTGCTCTAATCGAGAAAACTAAGGGCGGAATTAAATGCAAGCGTAAAAGAGAGTTTGGAAGGGGATTAGGCGTTAAGAAGACTGAATATTTCAGACAAAACAACAGACAGATAATTCAATTCTAAATAAGTGAAATGATAGAAAGCTTTGTTTCTGGGTTACGAGATAATTTGAGATTGCCAGCTGCAAAAAATACATTTATCTTGAAACCAAATTCCCGCGTAATATACAGATTATTACCTTCGTTACAGAACTATGTCTTAAAGATGTTAGATGATCGACATCATTTATGTCTATCAATTCCCTTACAAGTGTCTTATAAATCGTCTTCAAGAATGCATTGATTGATTAAACTTTTAGTCATACTAATTAAAATGCAGTATCTGTGAAAGTTTGCTTCGTAGTAAATTCAAAATTTATGATTGTAGGTAATGTGTAAAAATTGTGAAAAGAGCTAAAACGGAAAATGAGTGCATAAAGCTTATGTGAGTTTGGGTGATGGAACAGCAGCAACATTTTACGGAACACTTGACATTAGATGAATGCTAGAATTAGTCCAAGATAACTGCTGAAATAACTCATAATCATGTTTCAACGGATAAAAATTATTTATAATCATTAATGTAATAGCGGTCATTGAAAAGCAGCAAAATTTGTAATTTAATTACAACAATGACATGAAAGCACAATTCACAAATATTAAAAGATAAATAATCATGTTTTAGGTTCGTTAGTCACAGTTTGATGTAACATACAGGTTTGTATAGATTTAGTTATGATTATATAAAATATACTGAAAAATGTTACTTACACTATAACATATGATAAACTTTGTTTTCCTATACGGGTTTCAGGCTTTGTCAAAAGTCACGTGTATTTATACCTAAATGGAATTAATTTCAAGTAAAAGTACTTTAAATGATTCAATCAAAATAATCATGTCATTATTTAAGTCTTATAGTGTTTTTAGAAATGATTATAGTCTTGAAATCCATGATAAAATATTCTCATGATTGAAAAATCTACTAAAGTGACATCATGCCCATCAAAGGGTATATAGTGAGCAAACAGGTGAAAGTCAAAATAAGATAACATTTTGCCATAATTCTGTTGAAGTTTATTATTTAATTTTATATATTTTTATATATTTAAACAGAAATTTTCTTTGACAACTTGAAAATGAATTATTTATCGTCCGTGTCAAGTTAATATATCGGAATATAGCGTTACCTTTCAATTCATAAAAAAGAGCACGAAAGATATATTTTATATTATAAGCAGATTTATATTTTATCGGTCAATCTACATTTTTGAATTCAGCTTATCTTGACAGTGACAAAATAAACATAAAGCAACTTCAAACATACCGTAACAAATCATCTTGAGTAAAAACCTTCACAACTAGCAGACTTTCGAAGAAAAAAGATATGACAGACAAAATGTTTGAAAATATAGTTGTGTACGTATAGTTTAATGATTAATAATGAATTACATGTCAAGGTATATGTGTGCCAAATGCATAATACATTTTGATCAAGTAATTGACATTTGGATGCATAAAGGTTACAAGTCTATGTATCGCGTGGTCTCAAGAGAAAACTGAATTAAATATATTATGTATATTTAATAGACCGGCGGCACCCCACAAAACAGGAAAGACTATCACCCCAGAAAATATAATTTGTACCTTGTGACATGAATATTGCAAAAACGTACTTTACATACAAAATAGATATTGCAGCTCCTCGTGTTTTAATGAATCATTAATATAACAAAGAATGTTTGTGTTCTTATATAAAGAAAATTAGTGTTTGTATGTCCCATATTATTAAGCTCAATATTATGATTGGCTATATTGGATGAAATTTTGAATGACAATAAAAACGTTAAGCAATTATATGATACAGTAACAGTTTAATACGGCTCACTCAAGTTCAATGTTTTTCATTTGAAAAATTATTATCAGCCCCTAAGTTTATATATAGAATTTAATCTTTGCTACGGGTTTGGACTGGTTTATTGATATTGTTATCATTTTGAAACTTGATGGAATAAGACAATGTAAACATAAGTAATGAAAATCCTTGGGGTATGTTGAACGGTAACATTAAATCGTGACCTGGACAAATTGATGAAAATTAATCATTCACATCGATAGTAACTTCATACTGATGAAGATTGAAACATTATTCCTTAAAAAAAAATAGTCGGAAAATACAGAAGATAAAATATGTCTGAAGATAATTTTTTTAAAAGAAAAAAAGTATCAAATGACTGTATCTTTCACTTATATATGACACGTCTAAGTGTCGGTAAATAATTATGTCTGGGAGTCATTCTGATAATCAAAACAGAATATCTAGATTCACGGTACAAAACTAGCGTGTATTCGATAAAAGAAATATACGAATTTCTGCATGAAATTATTCCAATGCATAGACCCGTCTAATTCTTATTATCACATTAGTGGATACAACTAGA